TAAAAAATTAATAAATAAAAATATTTTTAAAGTATTATTTCTGAATTTGTGTGCATAGATACATCCATGTACAAATGTACTTATATACATGAATATATTCATATGCACATAAAGAACAAGTATATGATTAAATGCACACAAAAACACATAACATATTCGTATATCTGGAAGAAAGATAAACAGAGGGACAAAGAGAGAAACTACATGGTACTTATGAAAACCAAGCCCCCAATAGATTGGTTAGAAACAAAACCAGCAAATCAGTTCTCTAGAGAGATGTGAGCAGCTTGCGGTCCTGAGCGTAACTGCTTCGTGCCTTTTCCAGCAGGCACACTGCCAAGCTGGGGTCTCAGGAAGCAAACATACTTTCGTGCTAGGTAACTGTTTTCTTGGCACCTGAATCACTGTGGCCACGTTCTTATGAAGAAAATTGTAACCTATTTTGCCAGTTCTTTTTCTTTTCCAGAGTTGGAAAACTGCCCAAAGGCACAGGGGCTACGGTTCCTAAAGGAACATCTTCTTCTTCATTTCTTTAGGAGTTGTCTCTTGGATTCTCAACTCTGATGACAGTCTGATCATAATGAAGCCTTTATGTCCCTCTATAGAATGTGGGATGTGTGAACATGCATGTCCTTCCCCAGAGCCTTCGAGTACCAATACACCAGAAGAGACACACATACCAACATGCAGAGGAATTCCTCTCTGCTTTAAGCACATGTTTGAACAACTGTTGCATTTCTTCATTCTGTCCATCTTTAGAATATGGTTACATTATTTATTTGTTCCTATTGAGCAGGCAATTATGAGCCTCGGTTTCATATACACCTCTATGCTCGACACTGTGGAAGCAAAGATTACTTCATTTTTCATGTATTTTAATCTATACTATTGTATGACGTCATTGGCTATGCAACCATAAAGATCCCTGCCCCCAAAAGGCTTGCAATCACATGTTCTTTCCCTTTTTCAAAGAGATGATTCTGTATGTGTGCTTGTATGCAGTGTGGTATAATGGTGTGTGTGTGTGTGTGTGTGTGTGTGTGTGGTGCATGCTTGTTAGTATACATGTGCACATGCCCATACATGACCATGCAGAGGCCAAAGGAGGATATGGGGTGTCTTCCCCTTATTGATTTCTGCCTTATTGCCTTGGGGCAAAATCTCTCACTAAACTGGAAGATAGCAGCTTCTGTTAGACTGGCCAGCTAGTGAGCTTTCAGGATCTACCTGTCCCTGACCCCAATGATGGGGTTACAGACACATGTGCCCTTCCATGAATTCTGGGGAGTCAAACTCAGGTCCTCATGCATGCACATCAAGTGCCCTGACACACTAAGCCATCTCCCTGTCTGCTTCAAAGAATCTATTCTTAAAATTCCAATACAAGCCCAATATTTGGATATCAATATTTCACTTTACTTGGAGCCCATGATTCATCCTGAGTCACTTTGTGAAAAGAGTTCTCCATGAGCTGTCACATCCAACAGGTATGAGCCTGAGTGAGACACTTGCATTTTACTTCGTACTGGAGCCTGTCATTACGTAGAAGAGTTCATGTTCCAGTGACACAGCAAACATGTACCAATATGCCAGACAAGACAAACATGCCAAAGAATACTTATGAAAACAGAGAAGTTGAAATTCTGATCAAAACAGTTTTAAAAATTGGAAGACTTAGGAACGAACTATGACATTTGGCTTCAAAGATTTAAGAGTTTAGAAAGTGAGTTTTATTCTGAGCCATGAAGTAGCCAAGCTATAGCTCTTTTCTTAGTGAGTTCTTTAATTCCATAAAGGACAGAGCTCATTATATGGCTTTTGTTTGACTTACTTGAATAATAGCATACACATATTTTTAAAATGTAGTGCTTTGGAGTCAAATCCTGAGTTTCTTATTCCTGATTTTGTATTTATAAAATGTAAACCGTTTGCCTGAGGTTTTAATCTTGAAGGTGCTCAAGCCTACTTTTTTTAAAGAAAAAACTTCAATGAGAATTATTGTATCTTAGGTTGACTTGTCCCACCAAGGATTAAAAAACAAGTTGTTAACTGAAGAAATTATCCTGAGAAGTTTTGGTAAAGGAGTTGGAAGGAAGAGTCAGAAAGGAGGGAAGTAATAAAGATTATCATAAAGCTGAGTGCTACAGTGGGCTGCCAGGCCTTCCTCTCAGGGGACATCCAGGGGACCGGGGTGGTGGGGGAAGTAGGATGGCATCCTTCCAAGTGACTGTACTTGCTGGATAGGGAAACTATGTTACCTGTTGTCCTGTTCTAGTTCCCATCCTTCAGGGGTTAAGGATTATTCCCAGAAGCTCCATACCTTGAGAAGAGCTAGTGTTTAGAATCCAGAAGGACAAGCAAGTCATTTTCCTGTGCAAACTCCATTATACTGATTTAATTTATCATCTTCCATATAACACTACAAGCTAAGATTTCTCTGCTTTCTTTTTTTTAATTTATTTTTCCATTTCACAAGAATTAACCAATTCTCTTTGAACTGTGTTTTTGTTTCTATCATGTCCATTCTTACTACACTATGCAGAGTTAGCCACTGTCATTTCTAATTTTTGTTCGTGCCGAGAATAACCAGTGTAAATTAGACTAAGTAAAAGAATTTGCTTTATCTATTAGCAAGTCACTGAAATAGTTGCTAGCTCCCAGAAAGTCCAGGATTGTGCTGTTGCTATAACATAGATCTGTTCTAACCTGGTTGTGTGAATGTTGGTAAATTTATAATCTAGTGGTCCTACACTCCGTTGACTCCTCTGCAAAATCATACTGATGATAAACTTTTGAATGTCCTCTTGAAATCAAAATAAATCATTTAAAATATTTTTGGATGGAAAGTTAAAATCCTATAAATGCTATTTATTAAGACTGTTGTTATTCAAGACTTTTAGAATGATCTTAATTCAGTTATTTCATATGCTACAGACTGCTTCACCCACAGCACACTCATTGCCCCACTACTGGCAAAAAGCAAGTGGTTGTGTCAAAATGGCACAACTTTGGGGGCAATGACCCTTGTCTCCACAGTTCTCCTTGGTAAGAGAGGAATAAGGTGGTATGAATGGGGGCCAGAGAGGTGGCTCAGCAGTTAAGAGCACTCGCTGCTCTGGCAAAGGATGAAAGTTCAGCTGCCAGTACCCACATCAAGTGACTTGCAACTGTCTGTAACACCAGATCCAGGGGATCTGATGCCTTCTTGTGGCCTCCATAGGCATCCACATACAAGTGTAGGTACATACACACACACACATACACACACACACACACACACACACACACACACACACAAATAAAAAAGTAAAATATTAGCCGGACGTGGTGGCGCACTCCTGTAGTCCCAGCACTTGTGAGGCAGAGGCAGGCAGATCTCTGTGAGTTCAAGGCCAGCCTGGTCTACATAGTGAGTTCCAGGACAGCTGGGGCTACAGGGAGACCCTGTCTCAAAAAGAAAAAAAAAAACTAAAATATTAAAAAATGTCTATTTTTAAAAGTCAGCATGTGACTGGAACATAGTGGATGCTGAGTTTATGCCTTTTTCTTTATCCTTGGGTCACTGAGTCTAGAGACCAGGGAAATGATGCTACACTGAGTTCTTAAGCATATCTAGAAAGCTGTCCTGAGTGCAGAAGGACTTTGAAAACGCTTGTCGTGTGCCATATTGTTGGTTACACTGAAGGGCCACACTGTTCCAAAATGCAAGAATCATAGGAATTACTCCTCTCTTGTGTCTCACTCAGCCGTCAGCCCTTTGGAACATTCTATGTGCTGCTTAGGATTTTGAGCTTAGTACAAATAAGATTGAGTCATCCTTATCAGAAATGCTTGGGTCCAGAAGTATTTAGATTCTGTTTATTTTCTTTTAGGGTTGTAGAATATTTGCATGTACATATGAGATATCTTAGGGATGGAACCCAAGTATAAACACAAAATTCATTTACATTTTATAAATACCTTATGCACGTAGCCTAAAGCTAATTTTATGCACTGGATTAAATAATGCTGTGCATGATTTCCTGGTGTGGAATTTCCCACTGTGGCGTCACGTCAGTCCTCAAAAAGTTTCAGCTATTTGGGGTTCATTTATGATTTTGGGGTTTTCAGACTAGGAATGGTCAACAAATTGATGGTTTTTATAAAACTTACGCATGTATCCTGCATTTGCCTTTTTTAGATTTACTTGTTGGAGCGTTTGGGAAAGGGAAAGTGGCTGTTTACAGGTACGTGTCTGCTGGTATGCAAATGCTCTTCAGTTCTAAATGTATCTCCTTTTTTTTGTTAGTTCTGCCTTAAAAACCTCCAGGACCTATTCCACCTGTTTGTTCTGGACAATGCTTGTATGTTCCTTTAACGGTCTGAGTAGATTTTTCCCCATTTTTAATCTTTATCTCATTTCTCTGTATTTTTATTCTCATACTTTATGACCAAACTTTCAACCTCCACTAATGTAACATTAATAAATAAGGTACAAAACCCAACCCACCAAATCAGAAAATGACTTGTGTTTTAGATGTGTCTATTTTTTAATTCTCTATGTTCTGGCATCTTTGAAGTCTGTAGTTGTAGAAAAGGAGTCAGTAGGGGAGAATGTGGCTGTTTGCCCTGGCTCCTCTATTCAGTGTGGACACAAAGTTGGGGAGAACATACCAGGAGTCAGTGTCCTAAAAGCAAGCCTTGAAGATGTAATGTAGCAGAATGGACTGACAGCCTGCTCCTCCACACACCCACTACTTCACCATCTTGGGGGAAATTCCTACAGCATTCTTGGCCTCTGATTTTTCAAGATCATTTTTGTTCAAAGGATTCAGTGAGGATCTGAATACAAGTTGAGTGGTAACTGGTTAATTAGTGCACAAAACTTTTGGATTTTCTTGAAAAGAATGTATGATGTGAATTCAAGAAACTAGATTAGGATATCAAGACAAAAAGTGTGCATGCATGCATACAAACATATGTACATAGGCACGTAATGCTAATGTAGTCAACTCCCAGAGTGGCCCTAAGTTTAACTTTTTTCAAATCAGTAAGATCTTCCTCAGTCCAAAGACAGTGAGGGCTGGTTTGGACCAGCCACTCTCCACTTAGCTTGAAGAGGATCAGAGAGTAAAAACTCCAGCATCTCAGAAGTGTGGGGCTTGGCTTTGTTATGCCGCCCAGACTGAAAACTGACCCTGCCTCTGGCTGCCACTCTCTGAATCCTCCACATCTCTATGCCAATCTCGTATTTTCCATGAACTACTCTAAGCCAGTTGCTGGCACAAGGACAAGGTGCGTGTCCAGTCCTTGGAGACATGGAGCTCCTGTCCTGGGCAACTCTGCCTAAGCTCACCTCCGTACCCATTCGGAGCCTTCTTCTCAAAGCCCTCTCCTTTTCATTCTGTGGCATCAGCTGCCCTCACCCCTCTCCACACACTCTACCCCACCATTTTGTCCTCATAGGCATTTGCAACAGTAAATCTTTTACATGCCTAATCTCATTTTACCAATCTGCTTTTACAAAACTGGAGCTAACACAATATTGAAAATAATATAATACAGTACAGACAAACAGTACCAAGGGGCTTAGGAAAAATCCCAGCGGGCCCCATGTGGGAATCATGAAACCGTTTGAAGTAGTGCCCTAAACAGCATTCTACCCCTAAGACACCAGCCTCCCTTCTGTCAGAGGAAAACTTATCCAACACGGCCTCATTGCACACTACAATCTGGAGACTCTGGCTCCCAGCTCTTCTCTTTTGTAATTAAGCTTTAAAAATGACTCGTATCCCTTCCCCCGTGATTTACTCTCTTGTCTTGTTATCCTTGCCTGGGTGGTTGGAATGACCTTTATATCAGTTCCTCTCCTCAAACATGACTATTAGAATCACCTGGAGAGTGTGTTTAAAAATTCCAAACCTGGCCCTTACCCCAGAGGGTCTAACTCAGTTGACCCATGATGCGGTCCAGGCATAATATTTGTTTGAAAGTTCCTTGACTGATTACATTGTATAGACAGGACTGAGAACCACTGCTCTGGGTAAAGTACAGAATTGTTCTATAACCCCACTTTCATATGTTCAGCTAAATCTACAAAGCTGGGCTAGAAAATTACCAATTAAAGTGAAAAATGTATCAATGAGCGGACAAAATTTGAAAAATTTCAAGTACTTAGTAGACGTAAGATTATGTGTCTCAGGCTGGAGAGGTGGCTCAATGGTTAAGAACAGTTGTTCCTTCTGACCTGGTGTCCCAGCACCCTTATGGGATGGCTTACCATTGCCTTTAACTCCAGCTCCAGGGACTCTGACACCCTCTTCTGACCTCTACAGGTACCCACACACATGTGCAAATATGGACGCATCATGCACATCAATATAAATAATCTGTAAATAAAGATGATATGGGCTGGAGAGATGACTCAGCAGTTAAGAGCACTGGCTGCTCTTACGGAGGACCTACCTGGGTTTAGCTCCCAGCACACACATGAAGTCATCTATAACTCCAGTTCCAGGGGATCCAATGCCCTCTCTGGCCTCCATGGGCATTGTGTGCATGAGGCGCACTTACATACATGCAGGTAAAACACACGTACATATAAAATAAAAATAAATCTTTTTTAAAAAGATGTGTCTCATTAAATATGGCAAATCATAGAGCATTATTTCATGAGCTTTGTCACTATATTCTGAGTCCACTCCATGAAGAAGCAGGTCTATGAGTGCAGTGTGCTTACCAGGTGTCATGGTCGGCTTCAGTTGTCAACTTGATACCTGGGAAGAGGACAGCTCAGTTGGGGAATTGACTCTATGACGGGCCCGTGGGCATGTCTGTGAGGCACTTTCTTGATTGCTGAGTGATGTAAGAGGACCCAGTCCACTGTGAGTGGTGCCACCCCTGGGCAGGCGGTCCTGGGTTGTATAAGAAAGCAGTCCTGGCAGAGGCCAGAAAAGCCAGCCAGTAAGCAGTGCTCCTCCATGGTCTGTGCTTCAGTACCTGCCTCGGGGTTGCTGTCCTGAGTTCCTGCCTGACTTCCTGCTGAGTTGGACTGTCACTTGAAGTGTAATATTCAATAAACTCTTTTCTCCCCAAGTTGATTTTAGTAAGAGTGTTTCATCACAGCAATAGAAAGCAAACTAGAACTAGTAGCCTGTATCTTTTTTACAGATTCCTCTGCTACCAGATGTGTTTAGATGTATTTAGAGGGCATCAGTTGAGTGTGGTGCTCTCCTGTTCATGCAGCAACAAAATTCTTGGCACAAGGCTGGATGTATTGTCAGTGGCCTTTCTTACAATGAGCTTCCGTCTAGGACTCCTGAGTTCTGCTTAGGCTCTCTGCTTTCTCCCTGCAGAGCAAGGCCAGTGGTGACTGTGGATGCCCAGCTTCTGCTGTACCCAATGATTATCAACCTTGAAAATAAAACTTGCCAGATTCCAGAGTCCTTGACACCTGTGGCCTGGTGAGTTAGCCTAGTAGAATGCTTTCCACATTTTTATGAGTGCTCAGATCATCATCACTGGGGATCTTGGGATATCAAGAGTATAAGGGCTCTACTAGGGGGAGGGAGGCTATGGGAGGGTGCTATCTGGGAAGTGGGTGTAAAAATAAATAAATAAATAAATAAATAAATAAATTTTTTTAATGGAGATTTGGGTGCTGGAAGTCTGGGGCAGGGTCTGAAAGACTAGATAAAGAGGGTGTTGATACTATGGGACTGTGGACCAGGTTTGAGTAACAAAGAATCAGTCTTCCCAAAGGAACTCTGATATTCTGTTGATCTTTGACTGTTCTCTGATCTACAGCTCTTGAGATACACAGCACAAAGACATTTGGGAGAATTCCCAGTGAAACGAAACTTTTAGTTTCTTGGCACCCTAAACTAAATGATAACTAGACTGAAAATATAGCAAAATACCTCAACTCTGAGATTTTTATGTACTATGGATACCACTTTTCAGATATATATGCCTTTTTTTAATAAATACACTTAGTTTAGCTGGATGTGGTGGCTCATACCTTTAACCCCAGCACTCGGGAGGCAGAGGCAGGCGAATCTCTGTGAGTTCAAGGCCAGCCTGCTCTGCATGGCAAGTTCCAGGCCAGCTGGGGCTTCAGGGAGACCTTGTCTCAAAAGGACCAAATAAATTAAATAAATAAATAAATAAATAAATAAATAAATAATAAATAAATAAATAAATAAACAGTGTATTCCTTAGTTCCATGTGCTGGAAACAGATACCCATTTTGTAACTTAGTATGCACAACTAGACAGAAAGTAAATATCATAAAAATGGAGACTTTCTGTGTGTGTGTGTGTGTGTATGTGTATGTGTGTACGCCCTGACCTGTATTTTTGTGGCCAGGAATCTCACCAGCAGGAATGGCACAGTGAAACCATAGCTCCTCTGCCCAAGCAGCAGACTTGGCTTACTTACCCAGCTTCTGATTCATGTTGGTCATTGGAATGACAAGATAGAACTGGGTTATGGCATATCCTGAGAAAATGCCACTTGTTTCCCAAAGGAGGTCCTTGGGCATTGGAAACCATTGTATTGGACCATGGTGTCAGAATCTGAAGACTCAACAAAGGTGTTGGAGATTCACCTTCATTTTCCAAAGTGAATGTTTGGTTCCTGAGAATGTCAGGATGTAGAACTAAGCAGCCTTGACCCAAGCAACTATTTCCACCCAAGTGCCTTGTTTCCAGAATTCCTATGGAAGGCATAGCTGTGGAGGGTGGAGGGTGGAGAGTTCCAGGATCCTGAACAATTCTTTGAAAACCATCCTGTTGTGAGTTCCCAGTACAGGAAGGTCTGCCTTTACTTTTGAAGGTAGCTGGGAAATGTACTGAGCACATTTTAAAATGGTTTAAAACCATTAAACAGCATAATGAAAGCCTGGCCTGAGAGAATATGCGAAGGAGCGGGCAGCTCCCCTCCACCTGGCACGACTAACTGAACACTGAATGGACTGTGAGTGTTACTTGGAGCTAAGCATTAAAACTTTACTACTCCCCAAGGAATGCTCTGTTCACACCTTCCAAACTGCACATTTCCAGACTGAATTCTTTCAAGAATAGTGGCAGCACTCCCATACACAATGTGTTTGTTTTGAAATAAATGTGTTTTTTCCTAAAACATTTACTTTTAGGGACTTTAATAAAAAATA